AAGGTTTGAAAACACCTTGAACTGCTAGAGCAAAAAGAAAGTATATTGCTTTTCCAAACCAACATCACAATGAAATTTGAAAGCAGAAACAAAACTTATGTTTCACTGAAAGAATATGATAAACAACAAGGTCACCTAAACTACTTGTGGTGTATAAGCATGCCTATTAGATGCTCACAGGGATCAGAACAAAGCCCATCATTACTGAATGATTTTAATCCATAATCTCAAAGTAGGTATCAAATGTCTAGTGGAGAAAACATACAAATGAGGAACAGTGAAGCTTGATGTGGGCAATAAAATCATACACACCATGAAAAGATGAGATATGAACAACAGTGGTGATTAAGAAGGCACCCAGGAAAATGATAGCTTTTCCATCATTTGGTGTCCTCCACTGAAAATTTCAACTAAGTTAGCTTGCTCAAGATGAAGGCAAGTGTATAAAATTAAAGGAAACTCCTTGAGATTTAAAGGAAGTTAAATCTCTTCTGCACTTTGTCAAAAACTGTCAGAACTAGTTGAAAACCGTGAATTTAATTCACTAGTGATACTTCCAATTATTTTTTTTCTGATACAAGTAGCTTTAAACATCGATCCTGGCATCTTCTAAGCTAGATTTTCAAGTGATATTTGCCTAATTTAGTCCTTCAAACATTAATAGCAAAATCTAGATAGAGGAGAGAAAATGGCCTTCTGAATTCCTGAATATGAGTTCACACTATGATTCCACCATGGGGCGACGAAACTGTGTGATTCAGAATTGCCCCCCCCCTCCCGCCAAAGTCCTTTTTTCCAGAGAAAAGAAATCTTTGGGAGCTGAGCACTGTTAGAGGCAACATGCTTCACAGGTTCCCAGTCTAGGCAACCAGGGGACCAGAGTTTTGTGTGCACCACAATGCTCACTGGTAGGTAAATCTAAAGAATGACTTCAATGACAAAGTACTTAAAAACTTTGCTGTGTACATACTCTCATGCTTATTCTTTTACTGAGTAGTAATGAGATAACAAGGTCTTACACTGAAATCACTACTTTTCTCTGACAGTTTATCCTACATTAAAATATAATTTTTTGTTTTATTCTATACTGTAACATAGGTCTGGAGAATGGTTCATCCACCTCAAGTCTACCTTGAAAATTGCCTTGCACTTTTCCACATCAAAAGACTTTCACTGATTAATCTAGAGGGCTACAATTTGAATTGTGCAAAGATCAATGGATCAGTACTGGAATGGGTGACAGATATTGCCTTCACATTTGCCCTCCATGCACTACTTAAATGAAGAAAAGATTTGTCCTTTTAAAAATGCATTTTTGAGCTCTTTTTATTGCCTTCTTTTCCCTTGAAAGTGCAGGTCTGGAGTAGGAGTGTAGCAATTTTCAAATATGTGACATGTATTTTTCATATGATTGAAGGGCCAAAGATAACTTAGCATGGTTTGGACACTTGAAGAGATGAACTCATCAATTCACCTATTCCTATTTGAATAAACTGTGAATAAATTGTATTTTACAACCTGATCATTTGCCTATATCATAATCAAGAGTCTGGGAAGCTGTATTGTGTATTGTCATATAAACTTGTAAATGCTATACCACTGTGGTTCAGATACTTCTGTCCCAGGGCAATAACTTCTGCTCTTCTTTCACCAGTGGCTTTCCAGTTTGGAAGCATACAAGAATTTTCCCATGTCCATGTCAAGCTTTATTTCAGGTTCAGTTTAAAACATCACTTCTCCTGACTTATCTCTTCTCTAGTGACCCATATGGCAAAACTCACATGATGCAAAGCACCCTGCCAGGAGGATTTCCATTTGAGGCAACGCTGAACCTGGTGATAAACTCTGTGTACCCTGGAGTAGGGTAGGAACTTGGACATGCTTTACCATCAGAGGACGATTATAAATTTAACCACATGTTCTGGAAGGATAATTGCTTCAGATTGCCATTTTGTATAATCTTCATAATCCACAGAGTTAATTTAAATGCTCCAAACATGCTAGTACTTGGGTATACGATGAAAACAAGTACATTTTTTTCTGGGATTTTGATACAAATCGAAGAAAACCAGACAGTCAGTTCAGCTTTTAATTGGAAAATGGATGGCTGTCAGATTCCTTTGAAAAAGCCTTTTCTAAATGTGCCTTACTAGTGTTGTCATACTCAATTTTTTCCTGTAAGGAAAACAGATTGCTTGCTTCTTAATGGCAAATTACCGTACCGATGTACTCAGAACATCACTTAATGGTGGTATTAACCCAGTCAGCTGCATTGCATTATCAAAATTTTCATTTCTGCATAAATGGGCTGTTGTAGTTTCAGAGTACCTGCCCACCTTATGTCTACTTAAAATTCTGATCGACAGGAGGCTGAACATGAGCCAGCAGTGTGCCCAGGTGGCCAAGAAGGCCAATGGCATCCTGGCCTGGATCAAGAACAGTGTGGCCAGCAGGAGCAGGGAAGTGATCCTTCCCCTGTACTCTGCATTGGTGAGGCCACACCTTGAGTATTGTGTTCAGCTCTGGGCCCCTCAGTTCAGGAAGGATATTGAGGTGCTGGAGCGGGTCCAGAGAAGAGCAACGAGGCTGGTGAAGGGACTGGAGCACAAGTCCTATGAGGAGAGGCTGAGAGAGCTGGGATTGTTCAGTCTGGAGAAGAGAAGGCTTAGAGGCGACCTCATCACTCTCTTCAACTACCTGAAGGGAGGTTATAGCCAGGTGGGGGTTGGTCTCTTCTCCCAGGCAACCAACAATAGGACAAGGGGACATGGGCTCAAGCTCTGCCAGGGGAGGTTTAGGTTAGATGTTAGGAAGAAATTCTTTACAGAGAGGGTTATCAGGCATTGGAACGGCCTACCCAGAGAGGTGGTGGATTCACCATCCCTAGAGGTTTTTAAAAAGAGATTGGACGTGGCCCTTAGTGCCATGATATAGTAATTGGAGTTGGATCAGGGGTTGGACTTGATGATCTTGGAGGTCTTTTCCAACCCAATCTATTCTATGATTCTATGATTCTATGATTACATATGCTGCTCCTTTAATTTTCATATATGTTTCCCTGGAGTACTGAGCACTGACTGTACAGATGTATGAAGGTGTTGTACTAAGAGAGATTCCTATTTCAAGCATCAGAGTTAAAGCTGAAATGTACAAAAGAAAATCTGAAGCACACCATTCATGAATCAGGTTCTAGATGATTACAATGATTCCTCCTTAAAATTAAAGACAAATTTGTGAAAATTCCTGTTAAATATTATTTTTAAGCTATCACTGGTTTTGTTTCATGTCTTATTTAGTTATATATACAACACTGAGACAAAAAATTGGAAACCAGAAAGCACTATAGAATTAAAAATAATTCAAAAGTGGTAAAACAAAGCATTACAGATGAAATGTTTTATTTGCCACCTTCAAAACAAACAGTGGTTTTTTTTCAAAGTCAAACCAAAACTTGTTTCAAAGTTGAATTATGTCAAAACTGACTATACACTTGATATGGTTTGAAGTTGGCTCCCTGCCAACTGAAGAGGGAGAAAAGACAACTAAGAAAACCCGTAATGAGAGAGAGAGACAGCTAAAGTGATATATATAAATATATTTACACTTACATTACAATTATATACAATTAAAATATATATACAATTTCACAGGGGAAAGGGAAGGGAAAAGGAAAAAACCAAAATTTTATATATATATATATATATATATACACACATATCCCAATCAGTAGCCCGAGATCTAGTAACTAAAGAGTTAGCAAAGAAAATATCCCACCACTCTCCTTGGGACAACCGAGAGTTGCTCCGGAACCATCGCTGGCAACCTCCGCCTCCCAAGGTCGACAAGGCCTTACCAGGCCTCGCTCCCCAACACAGCAGACTCAACAGCAGGGAACCTGCACCTCCAAGTCACCAGAAGGAAAGAGAACGAAGGCCTTCCTTCCTTTCTTCTTATAGTCTGGTTTACGTAAAAATCGTAGGGAATACTGGGTAAATCTAGACCCTTCCTTGGTTACAAACTGGTCACCAAGGAAGGCCTAGACCAAACTACCACAACACTTCAGTCTCATTGAAGTGGCACTTTCTGACAGAGAACTGTTTAACCAGAAAACCCTTCAGAGTCTCTGGCCTTGGGGCAGAGCTGGAGTGACCAGTCCAGTGATGTTGACCTGCCTGGGCAGGACACCAGGATTCTTGCAGCTGGGGTATGTCAGGGAGGCAATCTACCCTCACTCCTCACTACAGCATGTTTGCAGAAGATCTGCTCAGTTTAGTATCAGCTGTGCCTTTAATGCAATACTCTCTTCCTTAGTTTTTGTGATCAGCTTCTCCTAACTTGATGGTCCCACAGTCCCTTAACACATAATGTGTTCAGGGAGCTGAGGCACCAGCTCTTTCTAAGGCTATTTTCCATGATAAACAAAATAGCAATATGTAAAAACTGCTAATAAATGGCACATCCCTCAGGAGATAAGGTATTACCTCAGTATTACCCCATTTTCTGCTTATTCGAAGAGTGAGACTCTCAAGGTCAAACAAACCAAGGCCTCCCTTGAGGCAATGCTAATGCCAGACTGGCTGTGCATGACAAGCTGCTGGCCCAAAGGTTATGCATTACAGGCTTTGACTGCCAATATTCTTATACTGCTGCTTTTCTTTGTATTTACCATTCTCCTACACTGCATTACTTTTATGTCAGGCTTTTAAAAAGCCTCTTCTCCTCCTATCACCTGAAATTTTCAAAACCGTAGCTACTGTTTGTAAGTGAAGAGGCAGGCTATTATACAAATACTTACATATGCTATGCACAAAAAAAGATGGGTTGAAGGAACTATCTCAGGAGAATAAAGCACTTGAAGTCAAGCCTTAGGAAGAGCAGGACTACCTGCGCAGTTTTAATTTATCCCCCTGCCATCCTTATATAAAATCGAAGTGCTAAAGTGAGTTAAGTTATTGTATCACACGAGACTTGTAATTTATTCTCCTTTTTCTTTTTTTAAGCTTTGACTGAACCACATTTCTGATAACCTACTGCAAACAAATACTCCATGTTGCAATGTTCCTTCCAAGAAAGCATGTGATGATATACTGCTACAGAAACTGGTAAGCAAGAAAAAAAATTTACTAAGAAATCAAGCCTGCATGCTTTGTATTGTAAAACAAAATTTCAACTGAAACGTGGTCATAAAAGGAATCTGTCATCCAGGCTGCTATGCAATATACTGACAACAGCAAATTCAGGTTGGCAGTTCCATTCCAAACTTCTCTTTTCATTTTTAATCTATTACACTCAAAAGGACCTGTGAATGTATTTGCATTAGGAAAGGCACCTACAGAGGTTTAAAAGCCATCTGTGTTCATAGGGAGCGAGAGAAGACTTGGGACTGGGATTTTATTTCTACTCAGTCCTCCATCTAAGAACAGCACCAGATTGCTAAGGGCAAAGAAGGAAGGTGTGCTACATTACCTACTGTCTGCTGGGCCCTAATAGCAGAGAAGTTGGGAGAGGAAGGCAAGGAGAATTCCTCTAAGCACCTCACAACTGGCACATGAATTCCGCTGTTATGAAACAAGAACGTGCAAAATTTTTGCAGAGCTGCCATAGGGGCTCCCTTATGGGCTGTGCCACAGGAGATGGATCGGAGGGTGAACATCTCTTCTAGGGTGGAATGAATGACAGTTCAGTCCAAACACATGATGCTTTCCCCCCCCTACTGTAGACAATAATGGCCTTAATTCCAGTTAAAAGAAAAGACTGAGTTTCAGAGAAAATGTTGGTGGGAGAAGGAACTGGATGAGCAGTCTTTCTTTGTGGGACAAAATTAAAATACTTTCCATGACACCGTTCAACTGAAATGCCACCATCAAGCCTGTACCAGGTGTTTGAGAGATTTTGCTCCTGAGGCTGGTACAAACACTTTGCATTGCTATATCACAGATGGGACTGTAAGTTAGAAAATCACTGACTCAGCATATTTGCATAAATATTCACATTTCTGCAAAGTTCAACTCAGTTGGAAGTATATTTTTTATTCTCCCTCCATTCAAACATTGTATATTCTAGTCAGAGTCAGATCACATTATAAATGGTTTTTAGTCAGTGCCCAGTTGACTCAGAGAATTTCAGATCCAGAGTTTGAACAGCTGATTTTGCTCTAATTCTCTGAGCAAATGTTGCAGACTGAAAATGTCTGTGTTTGTGTCAGCGGTATTTACAATTCTGTACATGGAGAGAACCTGTTCCAACAGGGAAGCGACGACTGCTTTCAATGTTCAGAAAGATCTATTTCCTGGCTGTCTCAAAAATCCACGGCAAAATATGCCAAAGTTCTTCTGTTCTGAAACCTGAAAATTAAGCACTGTGGAAGATTTAAGAAAAATGTTAGGATACACACAGTACATTAACTATAGTTCATTACGATTTCATAAGGTAAATTTCAAAATGTGTAAATTAGAGTTGCTAAAGCAGATTTCTTCAAGTTCAGGGGTTTATCCCTTCTGCTAATTTTGCAGGAAAATCAGCTGCTTCTATAATCATATTTTGTCGTGACATTTCAAATACTGTTTAATTAATGCTCACAGCAGCCTTGGGAGTAAATGGAAGATACAATAAAACAACAGATTTAAAAACCTTTAATACAGAAAGTCACTATTTGCTCAGATCCTAATCTTCAAAAAATAAGGTAAGGTGACAAGACAGCACATCACATACTATCCAAGAAAGTGGACTGAAAAGCCAGTTCTGCAGAAACAGTTCTGGCTCAAGCAGACAATTAAATATTGTCTTTTACAAAGGACATATGGATGGAAGGATAACCATACAGTTGGGTGACAGTCACCAGTGTGGCCTTAGTACACGCCTGAGACATTCCAAAAAGGAGAAACTCCCTGCACAGTCCCTACATCTGCAACTTTCATCTGCAAACTGTTGCTAGAAGGAATTGTTTATTTGTATATAGTTTCTGGAAGGCTTAATTCTTACTTTAACCAAATGGATTTTCTTGAAAATATTAGCTGTGTGAAGAATTCATAAGGGGATTTATAGACAGCTGAAATATAGGTAATTCACAAAATACCCACAATAATACACAGAGGTCTGTGACCTCCACATCATCTATGGCTATTTACTGTTATTCTAAAGTATTAAGTTATTTCTTCAGAGTTTTAGGAGAAAAACAAGGTTTACATTATTTCCTAATGGTATCAGTACCAGAAAACAACCTCTAGCTGAATGTCTTAGGTACAGTGCCTTTGATAAAGGGCCATATTTTTCAGTAGCATGTGGAGAAAAAGCAACAAATGCTAATCCTTGGTGTAGGCTTATAGCCTTTGGGATTTGCTGCAGATGCTACCAATTAGAAATCACATATTCTGCTGGTAAAAAGGAGAATCAAAATAAAGGTTTTAGTTTGCTCCCTATGTGGCAAAATCCTCCTGGATTTGTTCTCTAAATTTTCAACAATCAATCTTTTTTTTTCTCATTGATGGATATCAAGAGGGATACTCTGAAGTGATAGAATCCTTTGAAAAGTAAGAGTTAAGAAATCTCACCTCTGATGATGATGCTTGCCTGTGCATTAGCACTATCTGCCATCCCAGTCACTGTCCACTTGCAGCTGATGGGAGAAATAGGACTTGCTTGGAGCCAATGGTCTCACTGTGACACCTGCCCAGTGCTCACGAGGTCAGGTCATGCTGCTGACACTCACCACCTCAGTGCCAGACTGTGTCAAGAGAGTTAGTTGTAAAGGGAGCAAACATTGTCTGAAGTGCTGAGAGATTCCTTTCACATCTTCACAGTGGAACTTGTTCCCCTGAATCCCACTGTTAGTGGAGACAAGTGGCACTTCTAGCCAGCAGTTCATCTTAATATGTCAAACACCTTTAATAAGCTGATAAGACTTGTGTCCTAGAAGACCACATGTTACTCCAGATAAAAGAGATGATGCAAAAACTCAGTCTGCTGCAGACAGCACCTGCAGATATGCTTCCCTTGTCACCTGTCCCTTCAGTCAAAAGTGTAAATTAGTAAAAAAAAATGGCAAAGGATGCACCCAACTTCAAAGGAGGTTAAAAGGACAATGTGGAGAATTGCAGGTCACTCAGCCTCATTTGAAAACTTCCTCCCAGAATGCAGCTTGTTATAGAGCATTTCTGAGCACAAGAAGCAGCTGGCTGGAAACAGGTGGCATAGATTTACTGAGGATAAACTCTGCCTGACCAACTTGATTGCCTTTGGTAATAAACTGACTAGATTTTCCAAGAACAGAGCAGTACAGAGTGGTCCAAGGGGAGCCCCACAGCAGTTTCCACTGGGACCTATCTGCTCAACATCTTTGTCAGAGGCTGGAAGAGGTGACTGAATGCACTCTCATTGTGCTTGCAGATGTTGCCAAACTGGAGGGAGTCTCAAAGAAGGGGCTGCCATCCAGAGGGACTGAGTCAGGCTGGATGAATGAACCATGACATTCAACAAGGAGGAATGCTGAGTCCTGCCTGTAGGAAGGAAAAATACCTGCAACAATACAGGCTGAGGATTCACTAGGGGGGACGCTCTGTAGCAAAGGCTCTGGGGATCCTGTTGGGCAGCGAGCAGGACATGGGCCAGCAGTGAGTCCTGACTGCAAAGGTGGCCAATGGCAACCTGGACACAGTGGAATATGATGAGGATGAGACGTGGGAAAGGAAACAAGAAGGGCTTCTAAGGCTGCATCATGAGTAAAAGAAAGGTGAGAGGAAATGTGGCCCACCTCCAGAGAACAAGGAAAAAGCTGAGGTACTCGATAACTTCACCTCAGACCTTACTGGTACAATATGTCATCAGGGAATCATGGGACCAAGAACCACTAGCCTTTAGCAGAGAGGAATCCAGTTAGGGAACACTTAACAAACTAAACATACATAAGTTCATAGGATCAATCTTATAGGAAGCACCCACAGGGTTGAGAGAGTTGGTCAATGTAAATCAAGAACATTCTTGACTATATCAGAGAAACTGTGCTGTTTGGGACAGGTTTCTGAGGACTGGAGGAAAGCAAATTACACTTTTGCCTTCAAGAAGAGCATGAAGGAGGTTTTGGGGAACTACAGACTGATTAAACTCAGTACAGTTTTTTATGTCTGATTAAACTCACCTTAATCTCTGGGAAGGTAATGGAGCAAATCCTCCTGAAAACCACTTCCAGACACATGAAGGACAAGGTGGTGATAGGGAGTATTCAGCATGGATTTACAAAGATGGAGTTGACAAATCTGATAGCCTTCTGCAATGAAAAGACAGGCTCTGTAGCTGGGGAGAGAGCAGTTGATGTCGTCTGTCTCAATTTCACCAAGACTTTCAACACTGTCTCACATAACACCCTCATAGACACACAGATGTCATACTAGACAAATGCACTGTGAGGTGGACTGTGAAAACTGTCTGATTTGTAGTCAGCAGCACAAAGTCCTCTGATTTAGATACAAAACCCCCTTGTGTTTCACACACATTCATGACCAGGTAGTAGGGTCTATGGACTGGAGTGTTTTTTCAAACTGTGAAAAAAAAGAGTATTTAACTGTTATATCATCCTACAGGTGATTACCTAATAGCAAAAAAAAAAATAAAAAAAAATAAAAAAAAAGGCACTATTTCCCTCAAACAGATATTTTTACCTTAATAACAAATAGCATCTCATTCTGCATCGTGATGCTAGTTGGAATCAAATGCTGCTAAGAGAATGATGTTGGCAAAGGAGCAGTCAAAAAACTATGAAAAGGAGAGATAAATCACTGTTAAAGATAGTGAATGTTAGAAAGAAACCCTCTCCCCATTTTCAGTTCTTTTTAACTGCACTGGAGTACTCTGGAAAAGGGAAGGGATGAAAGTAAGATTTGTCTCAAGGTTAACTGACAGACAAAGTGAAGGAGAGCTTAACAAATGAAAAAGAATTTATAGTTTGGGTCTCTGAGCATGGTGTTGGGATCAAAATAATCTGCTTGTGGTGCTGGTTTAAACAGAGAAGCATGTCAGTGGCTGCAACACTATCCTGCCTAAGTAGGGAGCTCCATCGGGAAAATCCAAGCCTTTCTCCCTGCTTTCCCACACAATGAATCAC